AAACTATGCACCCATTTGCTGCCACCATAGCTGCTAAAAGAAGGACATTAAGGTAATTTTCATTTGCTTTTATGTAAACAATGGGGGACAAGGGTGACACCAGCGGAGGGTAAAGCACACCCTTCCCTCTTCACATCTCCTTTTTCCCCAGGACCGTCAGGTACCAGGAATATGCTTCCACATTTCCTCTAAGATTCTCACTCCAGAACAAAAGTTTCCATGGCACTTCATTTGCTACAAGATCAAATTCAGATTTCTCCGGCTGACATCAGGAGCCCAGCAAGCTTCCCAACGCTGACGTCCACTTGGCCCCAGTGTAGGTTTTCTGTTCTGACAAAAGCGATCTAGTCCTGACGCTCAGCCAAGTTCACAACTTGGCTTACGCTGATCCCACTGCCTGATGTTCTTCTCCCCTAAATATGTCATTCCTACCCACCTGTCTTTGTCAGTTAGGGCTGCTGTAGCAACAGACACTTATTTCTCATAGTCCGGAGGCTGGAAACGAGGATGCCAACATGGTCAGGTTCTGGTGAGGCTTTACAGACAGCCGCCTTCTCAGAGTGTCCTCACGTCACAGATGGGGCAAGGGAGCTCTCTGGGGTCCCTTTCAAAGGGCACTAATCCCATCATGGGGGGCTCCACCCTCGTGACCTAATCACCTCCCAAAAGCCCCACCTCCTAACACCATTACCTTAGAGGTTAGGATTTAACATATGAAGTTTGAGGGGGCACAAACATTCAGACCACAGCACCACACCTTCTTAGCCTTCTCTGTGGGGTGCCAGCACACTTTTCAGAGTGGAAGGGGTCTCTCTGAGACAACATGTGTACCTCTGAACTCCCTTGACTTTATTAGAGTTTGGAAAGTTATTCAGATTGTTAGATTACACTGTCTTTTTAAGGAAACATTTCAGCTTGCAGCAATTTTGTAGCTACCTGGCCCCAAACCATTCCAGTCCACCCTCAGTGGTGCCTGTAGAGGTGCCTGGTGCCGGGCTTCCCACCACCGCTTCCTCCCAGAGCAGTGGCAGCTCTGCACTGAGGGCTTCCTCCCTTGGGGAGGCACCTGGGTGTTGGAGCCCCTGGGGCAGCCTTGATAGGTGGGACTTGGAGTGTAAATATCCCAGCATCCTTGCCCAAGGGTAAGGTCAGAGGTGTGTCCCACAGCGTCTCCCAGAGAGGCCCTGGGAACTGAGTGCAGTTGCCCCCCAGTAATCCTCTCAATAAGGACCCCACTTGGTTTCTTCCCTTTCTTGTCTCTATTCTCCACTCCCCTGATGGGGCTCCCATGACTTCTGGCATATAAACTGTTGGCACTCAAATCCTCGTATCAGGGTCTGGTTCTAGGGAAACCCAACCTAAAGTAGTCTCTAAAATACCTAAAATCTCTTCTTTACAATAGATACACTTAGAAATACCTAAACTTCCTGTGTGCCTTCTGACCATCATTGGACAGTTCCTCTGCTAATGAATCACATATCTCTGGTCCATGGTCACATGGAAAGAGAGAAGAACATGAAATAAATTGTCAGAAGACCTACGCTCTAACGCCTGTTACTCCCACTCATTAGCCCCAGATTCTCAACAAGTCACTCACTGTCTCTTGATCCATGTATATAAACGTGAGAATTACTGCCATGATTCCTTCCCAGAATTGCTGGAAGTAGTCACGAAAGCAAAATCACTCTCAAAATAGAAAATGTAACCTCTTACTAGCGGCTTGCAGAAGACAGGGTAGAGTCAGGTCAGGACGAGAGCAAGGATGCACCAAAGCCCAGTATCCCCCTTGCTTCTTACCCTATGACACTGGAGAGCCATCTCCTTGGCAGGAAAAATCTTTTAGGAAATGTTTGCTTTGGATTTCTTTGATTTTTATCTTTAATAATAATGTCTGTTTTTATATAATTTTTGATGAACAAAACTATATGGAAATTCAGCATTTGGGGTGAACTTCCTTTTTACCTAGCCAAACCCTGACATTTCTAAAATATTAATCTGTTGTCTGAAGTCATTCCCAACTACTATTCAAGAGATGTGAATTTAGTAAAATTAATTTGTTTATTCCAAATATCACAAATTTCATATAGTTCTCCCTCTGAAGTTACAATTCCCAGAAGATTCAGGAGACACGACAGAACATTCAGAAACCAAGGCCACTCTCTTAAACAAATACAAAATGAACACCCGTGTTATTTCATGTCCCTGCAATGCTCTTCAACACTGTCTTTTCCTTCTCTCAGCTTTGTTCCAACATGGGAGGGAAAGTCAGGCCTGGCGGAGTAAGTAACACATCATACAGAGTCGTCATTTATCCGTTGGATCTATTATCCTTCATATTTATTGTAGCCATACTTGACTTTTAAGGTTTTTGTTTAACAAAGAAGCCCAGCATTCCTCTTTTCAATGCCATCCCCAGAATGTACTGTGTACAAGAGCCTTGCTCATTCTTTGTCTGTGTTGATCAAGCATACATTTGAACTGCGGAACTACACTGAGCACCAGCTGCAGTGTCTGGTGCCTTCCCTCCTCTGCCAAACTTCTGGAACAAAGCGGGTCTCCATCAGGCTCTGCACTCAGCTCCTCACCAAGGGTAAAATCATCTACAAAATTTCTGGCAAAATATCTACTAAAGCCAAAATATATTACCCAGTGGACATTTTTTTCTTCTTCTGGGAGCAAAGACACCCACCGATGGAAGAATGGTTTAGGGTAACTATTAGCCAGAAAGGAGTCAGAGGGATTGATGCTGAATCTTCAGTCTTTCCCTAACACCTGATTATGATTTGTTAGTTTTCTGTTCTTTTTTCCCTTTTGCCTTCTTATAAAGCATTTACTAAAGTGTTAACATACTTTCAAGAACTCATAGATTTTATCACTTCCAGGCTCAGGTCAGCCTGTGTGATATAAGAGATAATATGCTTACATTTGGCAGTGGAGATATTTGCTGTTATGTATAACAGCAATTTAACTGAGAAACTTCCACTCTGAAATATGGTTTTGTAACGTGTCAGCTGGTTTCAGCCTACATGCCTGCTTTTTTTCAGCTTTTACCCTGTACTGCAAAAGCTCCATGACTAGGACACAGCAAGATTCAAGGTCGGAAAACCAATGCTCTCTCTGTGTACAAATATAACATGGTTCTGATTTGTATTTCAAAGAACTGAGACAGAATTTAAAAGATTAACATTTAAATTAAAATGTTAATCTATTGATGTCTCAAATTCCACCAGCTATTGATAGTTGTCTGCTATCAGAAATCAAAACACCATTTATTTAATCCACATCAGAGTTCTCTGCCTTAATTTCTGAAGTAATGGATGCTCATTTCCAATTTGCGTTCTATGCCAAAGACTCAGTTCTCTGCCTCATGGGATCCCGCCTAGCTGTCATGGCCTCACTCAAGCCTCATCTCCTCCTTGAAGGCCTCCAGAATCCCTCCAGGTCATGTCTCATTTCCCTTTTAGTTGCTATGATCACTCATCTAGAAAGTAGTAATTACTCAAGGATGACATGTACTGTTATTTCCCATTTCCCTTTGCACACTATGACCCATTGTCAATGAATGGTCCTAGAGTTTAGTCATAATGTGGCTTACAAATTATATTTTGTTTCACAAAGCCTACTACAGAACTGCATTTATTATTAAATACTCAATATTTTCATTGATAAATTTATTTTATACAGCAGAACTTTGATATACTTAAGAGATAGCCCTACAAATGGGAAAAAGATCACTTTAATGTAGTAGAGGAGGCAAAATTTTACCTCTGCTCTCAGAGGGTTCTCACCTGGGCCTGAGAATTAAATTGACATAAGACAGATCAGCAGGAGAAAAGCACACAGGTTCATTTAATGTAAATTTTACCTGACACAGGAGCATCTAAGGAAATGAAGACCCAAAGAAGCAGCAAACCTAAACTCTTTTATACTAAGTTAAACAAAGAGAGGCAGTTGTGGAAATGTAACTAAAATATATGCGGAGGCTGAAGGAAGATGGGGAGTATTTAGCAAGGTCTGTTTGCACAGAATTCTCTCGACTTGAACTCCCTGTCCTTGATGATGAGAAGGTTACATTCTTCTGGTCCAAGTAGGTCATCTTCCACGTGAGGTCTTCTCTCCTGCTTCCAGGAAGAAGGGGAGGTCAGAGCATTCTTCTTGCTCCTGCTGTTTGTTCAAGTGCCTTCAGCCAAAATAATCCTTATGCCAAAGTGGCGTATTTTGAGGTGACATATTCTGCCACCATTCAGTAGTTTACTGAAAATAAAAAGTGGAGAATGTGAGAGTATATCAGATACACCACCATACCTTTTTTGTGTCTTCTTCATTTTTTGTCACTGAATATGTGGTAATATTCATGGATACTGCCTCTTGCCAGCTCATCTCAATTTAGTTTGAGCTAATTGAATTCTGAACAGTAGATTTAACTTTCCCTGGACTTGAAAGTTCGTACACTTTGTACTCAAGGACACTTTGGAGATCCTTCAGTCTGAATTCTGAGGGTCGTGATCAAGCACACTGCACCCCTGGCAAACTTCTGAGAAGATTTCTGGAACTAGGACCAATGTCCATGCCTGAGGCTCTGCCTTGATCATACATGGGCCGCAAGTTTGCTGGGGATCAGGAGCCTGAAAAGCTCTCTGTAGGCATCTGGGAGGCAGACCCTTTCAGGACACAGCCCTCCCTGAGGCCATTATGAGATGTGCTGGATCCCAGGGCTGCTGTCTGCAAGCCTGGAATGGAACCACTGGTGTAGTCCTGACCACGCCTTGTCTCCCCGGATGGCCTGTCCCCACTGGGTGTTCCTGGGGCTGCCCTGTCAGACTCATCTTGCCTCAAGAACTTTTCTTCCTCACTAGTAGGAATAAACTAAAAGCTTGGCTGGTGTGTCCTCCAGGGGATTGTGATTGTCCATCTGTGTCTGATTTCTTGAGTAGACAAACACACAGAGCTGGGCTTCCTGAGCACAATTTGGGCACAACCATAAGATTTACAAGATCAGAGCAACCCGTCTCTTCCTTTCTCACTTTGCCCACATACTAGGTCTTCAATGGGTGTGAAGAGTAACAGGTGAACAGTGAACAGACTCTCTTACTCTGTTAGGATCATTCCTGGTTCTATTATTTCATAGCTATTAGATCATACAATCAATAACCCTCTCTGGTGCTAATTTTTCTGATGCCTATTAATCCCTATTTTATGAGATAGCTGTGGAGAGTAAATAAGATAAACTATATGAAACATTTAGTACAAAATCTGCCATCCAGTTAGCCCTTAAATCTCAGTTTTCTTCCTCAAAGAAAGTAGCTATACAAAGTAACCGGGTTCTCTGTTAAGGATAGCATTGTAATGTTGAGTTTGTTTTTTATTTTCCTTTAAATTTATGTTTATTTATTACTTATGTTTTACAGTTTTGTTGACTGATATTCCTTAACTGCGCGTATTTGAAATGAGAAATCGTCACTGCAATCATAATAATGAGCATATCTGGCTGCCCCCAATTCCTTTGTGCCCATTTGTAGTGCCTCCCACACATCCTTCTTTGCTCCCCTTGCCCGCCCATCTTCAGATAACCACTAATCTGCTTTCTACCACTTTAGATTAGCTTGCATTTTTTATTTATAGAAATGGAATTATATGCATGTACTCTTTTTCTTGGCTCACTTTTTTCATTCAGTATAATTATTTTGAGATTCATCTACTTTGTTGCATGTAGCAACGATTCATTTCTTTTGTTTTCTGGATAGGATTCGTTTTATGGACATGCATTAATATATTGGTGGACACTTGGGTGGTTTACAGGTTTGGCTATCACAAATAAATCTACTATGAATATTTGTATATCTAGATGTAAAAGCTAAAAGTATAAAAAACTCTAAAAGAAAACATAGGGGAGAATTAGTGACCTTTGGTTTGGTTATTATTTCTTAATTATGAAATAAAAAGCAAAAACTATAAAAGAAAACAGATCAGTGAAGTGTACTTATCAAAATTAAAAACTTTTGCTCTTCAGGTGACACTGTTAAGAAATGAAAATTTAAGCCACACGCTAGAAGAAAATATGTGTGAAATATATGTCCAAGAGAAAATTTGTATCTGGAATATATAAAGACCTCTTACAACTCAATAACCAGAAGACAACAAATTTGAAAAAAAAAAAAAATAGGCAAAGATTTGAACAGACCCTTCACCAAAGATGACATATGGCTGACTAATTAACACATGAAAAATTGTTCAACATATTTCATCATTACAGAAATACAAATTAACACCACAATAAGATACCCCTACATGCCTACTAGAATGACTAAAATTAAAGAGCAACCACATCACATGTTGATGAGGATGTGAGTAATTGGAGATCTCCTTTGATGCTGGTGGGCATGTAAAATGGTACATCCACCTTGGAAAACAGTTGGCAGTTGCTTAGAATTTAAATGTAAATCTACCATATGACCAAACCATTCCATTCCTAGGCATTTACCCAAGAGAAATGAAAGCATATGTCCATACTAAGACTTCTAGCTTTAAGTTAAAAGAAAATAAACCGAGCTCAATATATAGAGATCAAGTTAAAAGAAAATAAACCAAGCTCAATCCATAGAAACCAATATCTCAAAGAGTGACTGAAGCTTTGTAATAGAAACCAGTGCCTCAAAGGGTCACTTAAAATTCCATAACAAGAGAACAACTTGAGGTCCTCTTCATTTTCATTGGTTATTTTTTAAAATGTGAGGGAAATCAAAAGATATTAGAAATCATGGTGTAAAGGGAAGCAGTGATACAGAAACATAGAAAAATAAAAAAACAAAAAACGCTATCCAGCAGTAAGAAATAAATCTGGGAAAGATATATGCTAACAAACACACCAACAAATAAAATAATTTTAAAACAAATATACTAAACACATAGTATTATTCCACTCAATAATCCTAAAATATTCTAAGTTAGTTTTCAGATACATTCCAAGGGGGCAAAATGCTATGGTAGAGTAAGAGCTAGACTTGGGTGTGTGACCTTGGCCTCCCTAGCATTTGTATTGATGTTAGACTTATACGAACCCTAGAGTGTCTTCTACATCTAAAATAATGATTTTCCAATGAACTAGCTCTCTCATTTGTAAAGCCTACCATTTCGGATATCATATTTCTAAGGAGTTAAACGTTCTTGTCATTGGTGTTGTTTCTGTCATTATAACATCATTACTCCCTCCAAATTAAGGAAAATTGGAGTTGTCACTGATGTATGGAATAGCCATTTTAAAGACAATCTTAAATATATAATTGCTTTATAAAGTAGTCCTGCGTGATTTACAAAAATAAACAAACTCTAATTTGATATATGCTTTTAGAATTTGGATAAGGTGTGTTAATTCAAGTCAACGATGGATATTACATAAAATATACAAATGTAACAAATCCCTTCGCTTGTTTTCAGTCATTCATGTACTATATTAAGCTGTGTAATTCATACCCCAATCGGCAGTTACAAAATAAACTCTTTTAGAAATATGAAATCTTTGTCTAATAATTTTCCCCGTGTTTCTGGCAAATAAATAATTGAAGCTTAAGAGAAATGCTCTCTCTTCTCTCATTTCAAAAGAACAACGACCTAGTATCCTTTTCTACTTTTTAGAAAATTCTTCATATCATAGATCAAGTCACTTACATTTGAAGGACGCCAATATTAATATTTCCTTTTCATCTTAGAGTTCTTATAAAGTAGTTCAAATGATTTCCACACATCTGCAACTTAGAAGTAGATATACCACGTCCTCTAAAGAGGTAATTCTAACATTCTCGTGCTTTAAAATATCTCCAGAGGACTGTCAACCAACTGTTTGGCCTAAATCATCTGACTAATCAGCCGATGACATCAGCCCAAGTCAATGGAAAGAGAAGTAAAAATAAGACTTTGCTGTTTAATAGCAAGTCCAGCAAGAACTGGGGACACCCCCCGCCATGTTCTCAGTCCTTTCTTTAAAAAGCTCCCCTAACCAATCAGAAATTTAGGCAAACAATCCTAAGCATAACTTCTTTTTCATTAACAAAAATATGCCAGGATATATGACACGGTATCTCAGGTAAACGGGGTAAAAGTCATAAGGCAGGTAAATTTTCTAATTTTCTATCCCTCTCTGTCATAACTTTTCCTCCAAGCACACCCACTTTTCATCAACCCTAACAATTATACCCCAAGCTATCCTCCCTGATGGAAAAACAATACAACAAAGCAAAACACAGACATTAATTTTTCTGAGTTTCAGTTCTTTTTATATAAAAAGAAAAAATAAATATGCATTAAACTCATGTAGGTATATTCAGATGAATTTTCTTCACCTAAAAAGAATATCTGCTTGAACGCTTACAATGCATTCAACTTAAGCGTTTGCCCTACGTCTTTATATGAGGGACTGGCCTCCATTTTTTCCCGTTACTTCCATGAGCATTCTTTGTCAGCATTTAGTATTCTCATTTGGTAGTAATAATCTTTCTAAGTTTGACAAGATTTAAGTAATTTCAAATTGTTTTCAAGGCTCACTTCCAATTCATGTTTTAAATTGCAGTATATGAAGCATGTAAAACACTAGTTTCTATGAGAACATGATGCTTGCACTTAGTATTTACACAATATGAAATAAATCATGTCAGAATTAATAAGGTCTAATTCTATTAATGCCAAAAAAGATTAACGTAGGTTCTCTCTTCTAAGCAGACTTACCCGGTACTCTTTGAATTATTCTTGACAGTGTTAAAATTAGACTAAGCCTACAAATAAAATAGGCTGGCAAATAAATTGAAGTAATAAATTAAGACGTGTAAATAAAGGTATCTGTGTTAGAAGCAGCAGATTTGAAGGAAAACTCTTAGATTTGTCATCAACAACACATTTGTTAGTATCTCTCCTGATGATTCTAGTTGCCTCTGAATTGAGTTTATTTCCTTTGTGTGTTTTTATTAAACACAATTTTCATACTTGGATGTAAGAAAAGTCAATGATAATTAAGAGAGGCTATACCAAAGCCAGTAAGGATGATTTAACGATATAGCAAAAGAAGTTTTGCTTGCCAGGTTGATTAGCTTGATTAGAGGTAGCTAAAATGTGTGTCTAAATCTCCTGAGTTTGCACAGTTACAGTTAATGGTTTAACTTGAATTATCTTTTTTATTTCTACATTTGTTTCCTTGTACAAAGTACTGTACTTATGGGGACGTGTTCTTATAAGAAGTGGGGAAAAAAAGATGTGTTTAATTTAACCTTTCACTGAACTTTTTTGTTCTACCCATGAAAAAGCATTCCTTTCATGCAAAAAAAAAGTTATTATTTTAAAATCTGGTTAGCATTCTAACTGGTAGTAAATGATACTATTGTTCTATTTCATTAAGAGAAATATGGATCAAATTGAGGAGCCTGGATATGAAAGAGAGAAAGTTGTCTAAAATAATATGGAATAACATAAACACTGTATATACTTACAACACCAAGTTAATGGGCAAAGTAGTTGACCAAGAATATTATGGATATAAACATATTTATATAATTAAGGATATATGCTATTTAAATCTTAGTGTATACGGTGTTTATTTAAATTCTCTGGAGCATTTTGTGTAAAATTTATTATAATGGAATGAACAAAACTTAGTTAACTCAGAGAAGACAATTTTGCTCTGATAATGAAATAGAAATAAGTCACGTTTTTATTTTCCCCTGAAGAACATGGTTTGGAGGCCGTGGGTTAATACATGGTTTCAAACATTCAATTGAAAGAAATAAAATGGGAAATAAGTAGATTATCATTGCAAAGAGCATGTGGAAGTTGCCTGTAGTTTACTGTTATCTCATGATCCATCTAGGACATGAAATATCCTGGAAGGGTTCAAACAACACTTTGTGGGAAATGTGAGGGGGTCCTAGAGAGCCTGTGGGAGACAGCTGGAGAAATGCCCTTCTCCACGGAGCGGTGCTGCTGGACACTCAGATTAAATTAAATATTTGTCAATCATTTGCTCTCAGTGCAGCACTATTCCAAGAACTCTAAGGGGCATGGAAGGTATACTGGACAGTATCACAATCCTCACTAAATTTACAAACTGATATAATAGGTAAGATTTATCATATAAAAATTAGTGTCAAAAGTTAGTAAAATGGCTAAAATAATCCAGTGCTAAGTATTAGGTGCTGAGAACAGTTGCAGTAGGGGATTTCAAATAAGGAATTTGGGACATTATGGAAAATAAGATCAGAGTGCAGAGATGATGTGTGAGCAGAAGACAGCTCTATGACCATGTATTTAATGTCAGTAAAGTAAAAAATGCTTCCTAAATGCCCTTGTGTATCTGTAAAGAGATGTTCCACACGTCGTTGTTTACAACAGGGAAAGATTGGAAACAATCTAGATTTTCAATAACAGAGAAATAGTATAAAAAGGAATAGTTTATCCATATCATGGAATTATCTAGTAATTGAAAATTCTGTTTTCCATGACAACACTATTTGATTATTTGGGAAAATCTCACTACATAGACTAAGTGAAAATGGAAGTCGGGATGCAAACCTTTATATGGAGAATAGTATTAATTTACTTTAAACACCCAAAAATTATTTCTGGGTCAAGATGTCAAAGTGAGCACTACCAGCAGCCTCCCCCTTCTGCACATGCACACAGAACGCACTCATACATGTGCACACACATGCACATACACGTGCACAGCAATGCACGCACATACATCACAGATTTGCATATGTACACACACATCACATATTTGCTCACAGCATTCACACACAGCACACACATGCACACGTGTGCACACACACATCACATGCATATGCACACAACTGTAACTATATTATTAAATCTTTATGACAGAATAACTAAAGGCCTGATGGGGTGGATTGTGCCTTCAACCTTTCTGGTAAAATTGGGTTTGACAGGGAATGCAGCCGTGTTGCCCAGTGATTGAGATAGTCCACTGAGTAGTTCTGTACCCACACACCCCTACCCTATATGAATGAGAATGGACCAAGGGAAGGCACTTGCTAGACTAGTACTGCCACTGGCAATCTGGAACAGCACAGTGACCAATCCTAATGTCCCTTCCAAAAATGGGAAAGTTTGGTAAAAATAAACGATAAGTGGAGAAATAGTAGCTGAGGATAAAAGGGTGAATAAGTGGGTTATGCAATGAGGCAAATCCAGTATTATGTTGATGCCTCATGAGAGGCTCAAAGCAAGAGAGAATATTGTCTTGCTCAATTGTACCAAATGCTTGCAAGGGGAAGCTACATGTTACCAAGACCACTGTGCTCTCAGAACCTGACAAAGTTGGACATAAGCCAAAAAACTGAGTGACATCACTGTGGGGGACATTTTGGTCACATGATACAATGATGAACTGAACCAATTGTTGATGACTGAGTGGGACTCTACTAACGGGCCAGTATCTTTTGAGTCGCATTTTTCAGGTTACACTTACTATCATATCATGATATGGTATAATACTAGTATCATTGGTAAGATTGTAATACTGATATTGGGGGTCAAATGTATCGGGAAATTGAATTAAATTTCCCTCAGACTTTAGGACCAATAATATTGGAATTACCTGTGGAAATACCAAGGGAAAATGACTGGCCTGAGCAAGAACTGGATTTAG